GGACGAAACAAACAGAGAAACGGACGCACGATTCTGCTAGACTTCCCGTAAACTTTTCACTCCCACATTGTGGCGTGATCTGAGTCGCTAGCCACAGAAGCTGCTTGGCCTTTTCTCTGTTTGTTTCGTCCGTTTTTTTTTTTTTTTTCAATGTATTTATTTTTTTTACCCGGCCCTTCCCGTTATCCCTTTGTGTGTGGAAGGGATGGAGATGGGACGGACTTTTGAGGTGTCGAATTTTGTGGGGGCAGCAGATAGCGCGCACTTCCACTCGGGCATAGGAACGGCCCCGAGAAAAGGGGGTCTCCCAGGATCGAAGGTCCACAGGCGTCTTATTGAGAGCGGAAAGGGATGAGGTCCCAAGGGGGACATCGCCGTTGGGGTCTGTTCAGTCAGCTTGCTGGAAAGGGACATGTGCAGGTCCCTCGGCGGATGGCTCAGTGAGCACCCTCTTGATGTGCCAAACAGTCATTCGTTGGCGGTTCGGAGTCCTGTTCGCACTCTTATAGGGGCCTGCGTGCTTAGCAGCCCACTTGTAGTCGACAAGGCGACGTTCCGGGCGTGGGTTTTGGGACGTTGTACTCGAGTTACGAGGGACTCTCTGCACACGCTTTGGGTGGTTTCCAGTTTGCGAGGGACGGGCGAGTCATGCTTTGGTAGTCGAGCGAACATTTTTGCGGCGTCGTTCAGGTCCATGGTCGTCTCTCTCGGAGGGCTTATTTCACGACAGCTCGGTCGTCGTTGGCGGCCGTCGTGGCTGTCGGGGCTTTCCTATGCCGTGGTGCCGGGTTGTGGATCGTTGCGTTCACCCTTGCTCATCGTCTTGCGATGATTGGCGCCGGATCGCCGACGGCGGTCCGGTTGGCGGTTGTTGCAAGGTGTGGAGGTGAAGGTGCCCGTCACCGGCTCTCAGCTTCGGCACCATCATCCCGTAGGTTACGGGGAGAGCTGTTGCGGCTTTGTTGTGGTGTCGTCTTCGTGTCCTCACTCACAACGGCGCGTTCCGTTTGTGTTGAGGGGGTGTCACGACTTGGTGAGGACGCTCTGCGCTCTTCGCCATCCGAGCGGCGCCATTTAGCGGTGGCGCAGGTGGCCTCGGCCATGCACGCGCTGCTTACCATATGAGAGGGCGGAGACTTGTGGGATGCGTGAGGCACCCTCTGACGGCGTCGCGAGGCTGGGCCCGTCATCTGCCCGACTTTTTGGAATGGGCGCTTGTGCCCGTCGTGTCCTTCATCCAGTGGTTTCAGTATGCTGCACACCGTGACGGATCGCGTTGCGTCGTGGTTCCGCTGCGTTTAGGTTGTGGGCTTCGAAGGCTACCGTCCTCTGTCTTTTGGGTTTTGTCTGCGTCGAGTGTTGTTGGTGGTGCCCGCGGCAACCGGCGGATGTGGACCTAGGGGGGAGAGGGGTTGTGTTCCTTTTGCGCCCCCGTGCACAGATGGAGGCTTTCCGTCCATCTGGGCGTGTTGGAAGCGTGGTGCATTCGTTTCTCTCTTCACCCGCGTTTCTCGATTGAGAGATGAGGCTGTGCACTTCGCTGTCGGTACGTTTTGGGCAGGCGGTGGCATCCAGCTGTGGGCCAAAGCTGTCGGTGGTTCCTTCGCGCGTGCCGTTGTTCGGGTAGTGTGGTTAACCTGCGATCTCTGGGTGTGGTGTGGGCGGGTGCGGCGGGCTGTGTTGGATTGTGCGGTACCTTGCCGTTGGAGATGGCCTACGGAGGGAAGTTCACCTGCAATTCAAACAGCCGGACTTCGCGGCGTCTCGACAACTCATTGCACGTTCCACGATTGTTCGATGTTCTTTTAGTAGGCTATCCCGCGTGACGTGCCTACGTGCGCCTCGGCCATTGCTCCTTGCGGCTGCTCGTCACACCCGCTACTTCGTTGATTCTGCCAGTAGTCATATGCTTGTTTCAAAGACGAAGCCATGCACGCATAAGTGTGAACACTTTGCACTGTGAAACTGCAAATTACTCGACCTATCCCGGAGGTCAGCTACTTACTCACAACTTATACTCGCACTCACGCGATTGTGGCACGGCTTCCGGAAGTGGTAACCGGCTGGTCACGAAGCATGAAGAAGGTGTGGCTGGTGGCATGCGAGGACCTATGGCTCATGGGGAGGGGACCTTGGAGGGGAAGGATCGACGTAGAAGGTGCACTGACTCTTGTCTACACGGCGCCTACTACCGAATTGAGAGATTGGCTTCCTAACAAGCGACGACTTGAAACGATCAAAGTAGGGGGAGAGCTTTTGGAGGTTCATTTCAAAGCCTGGAAGTCGTCGGCGAAGATAGAATTTCAACGTGAAGAAGAACGGCGTCAAAGTAGGGGGAGAGCTTTTGGAGGTTCACACTACAAAGTCAGAATACTGCCAAAAGTGTCCACGGGGCACTTCTTTCGTCGACCTCCCCAAGGATCGGAATACGGCTTGTGCATTTACTTCGTGGCGGCAGAACCAAAGCGGGCAGCATCTCCTCAGCTCGCGCATAGAGAGGCCATGTGGACCAAGTTCTCCGCAATTTTTGGCCCAACAGCCAAACCAAGGGACTTTGCAATTATTAAGGAGATTTCGGCGGGCATCCTTCAACGGCTCAACTGTCGAATCCCTACGGAACATAAGATCGGGTCTGCCAATTTTTACGGTGTGACTGGCTGGTGGAACGAGAGTAATTTGTAGAATTAGGAATAGAGTGAAGAGGACTCTATGAGATAATGTTAGCCACACTTACATGACTAAATTGGGTTATGATGCCCCAAGGGTAAAGTACTTTCCCGGCTATTAAACTTTTGATGCTTTTTTGTACACGTCTCTAGGGTAGTGCAACGCGCTACTTTCGTTGTTGTAGGTTGGTTCAATTTCTGGTGTGTTGCGCTACTTCTTGGGCACTCTTTAGGGGTTTTGCATGTACTCCACGCCAGCCCAGTTGGGGTATCATGTTTCTTTCTTTGGCGTGCTGTCATGTTGTTGGATTGTTTTGCTAGGATCCTTGTGTTTGGTTTGTAGTTGTTGATAATAGTGATTCGGGGAATTTCACACAATTCTGTCCCCGTTTTCGGTGGCGTACTATGTGTTGGTCTTTTGGCTTGTTGTCATATTTTTG